AAAAGACCTATATCCGATTTCTATGCAGGTTTGTTTTTTGTCTCAACTTATTTCATACTTGACACCTTTAACAGACTATATTCTGTGACAAAGCATTTTCTTTAAAAACCCAGACATATTTTTCACCATCATTATCTATTGAACGATAACTGCGAGTTTGAATGTCCTAGTCCGAACGCACTTGATTTGGCGGCGGTCCCAATGAGTCGTACTCAATCGAAACTTCAATTCGAGAAAAACGCGAAAAACAGTTTTGGTTAATAAAACACTGTAGATTTGCAGCATTATTATAAATATTCACTAAAAATGGCCAAACATATTAACCACTGATATCATAGAGCTCATAAAGAGTGTCTGATAATGAATAATTTCATGCTCGAGCGTGAAAAATGAAGAAAACTGCTGGCATTTGAGTCCCCACTCCAGGAACGTTCGGGTTTCCATTGTTATGCAAACGAATAACGAGGGATAATCCTCTGACAAACATTACTGTCCCACTGTACACGCTGACAGTTTACAAACAAGCTAATCCTTCAAGTGTCTCTGATAAGTGATCTAATAAAACGGTTTTCATGGTGAAACAAAATGGCCGATGTTTGAAAACAAAATTGCTGTGTCAGAGTGTGACACTGAGTGGCAGATTTTTCTTTGCCTCATCTGTCAACGCTTTTTTTTCGCCACTGCGTTAGAAAACATGGTACAGTGTATTAGTAAAATAGAATATTGACTTGGAAAATAAAACGATTTAAAGGAAAGTTGCGCAAATTTACAGTACTCATTTTGCACTACCTCCCGCCCGCTCCCGCGTTCCAAACACCTTTTTTTCTCGCTTTTTTGACCGCTTGTTGAATTGGACAATTATTTAGTTTTATTTTCGACCGCGCAAACCCCGAAATATCACCGCTCGCTCGCACGCATTTAAAATTCGGACTAACAGAAAAATTTCCGAGGTTCACATTGTCTTATAATTGTCTTTATGGTTTTTATAGATGTTGAACAGCTGACAAAAGTTATAAGCACGCAACCTGATCCTTTGGCCTCGATTTGGCTTGGACTGAATATTTTATTTTAAACAATATTCTGACGTGAAATACAAAATGTATTTCAACACAAGTACGACATGGTTGTCTGGGTTTTCTTTCCTGATTATTGAGTCTTCGCAATGTGTTTTGTATAATTATTGTTGTTTTCCTCCGAGGCGAAGACAAGCTGAAGGACTATGAAGCTAAATGGCAGTTCCATGCATGGGCTGACTGAAAGAATATATTTCTAAGCCTAAAATAAACCTAGTCTTTCGTTGATAATTTTGATTGTTTGGAATGTCTGTCGACCGTGTAATAAAGACATTATTCTCTATCAATAATCCGCCCAAAATAGGAACATTTCTACTAATTCTTGTGTTTTTTCGACGTTTTTCGAAAAATCTGCGATTAGGCTGCGAAAGTAGAACATTCCGGGGGGTGAAGAGCATCGCCAGGCGATGGACGCGGAGTTCTTTGGCAACGACCGCAAACGTAATTGTGATCAGCCATTGGTTGGCCACAGAGGTCAAAATACGCGTTCTATTTTTATGCGTTAAGTTTGGCTCTTCCGTTTCACCGCCTCCGGAATGTTCTACTTTCGCAGCCGTGTGAATCTTGAGTTTCGAAATTGTTCATCGACTGGCCACCAAATATCTATGGCTATAACTAAATTTTTAAGCCCAATAAATTATTCATACATGTCAAGCTCTGTTCGATTTTTTCAGGGCCTGTAGCTGTTTTTAGTCGAAAATATTTTTTGTGGGAACAATTTTACGTATACGTATATGGTTTAGACCGAAGTCATTCAATGATCGTGACCTAATTTTAAAAATTGAATGTCAAATTTTACCAGACATGGACCGACATGGATTCGGTATCGTTATTTTTGGAATTAATCATTAACATTTCCTCGTTTCTCTGCTCTGTCAAAATGAGTTACCTATGTTTTTTTTTCACGTGATTGTCTCATTAAAATAAAATAACATATTACATTTAGAACAAGCGCCCAAAACACGTAACAAGAGGTCCCAGTTCAGTTGCTTTCACGATACAAGTGTCATACAACTATTAGATTTGAAGTGCCGTTCAGAATTTAATAATAGTTAATACTAGTTAGTTGTACGTTCACACTTTACTATCAAAACCACCATTTCGACCACTCCTGCGCCAGTGATCAGTGTTTGGACGAGCGGTCGGTGTTTTCAATGAGCGAGCATGCCAAAAAAAAAAAAAAAATGCGATTAAAATGCGGTCGGTTTCCGGTCGGACAAGACCGCATGGTCGGAAATTAAGCGTTAAGCGTTCGATGTAAAAGCGGAAGGTTGGGCGAAATGAGTACTGTATGGCCATGTTTCTCCGACGAAGTCTTCACTGACAATAATGCTGACCAGAGTTCACTACAAACGCACTACTAACGAGACGCTTTCAGAACAACCAGCACCCGATATCCCTTCATCAGTACCCGTTGACACCGGAGAACGTGTTTTACGCAATTATAACACAGAAACAAACAAACTCTTGGTTGGGGATTCAATCACACATCGCATTTCCGCCAGTCGAATGTTTCCCCGTACTACAGTAGAGCACCTAAAAATTCCTACATTAGAAGAAGCTCGCTTTCAAATGAAAGGAATTCGTTCAACTACAGTTGATGTTGTAGTATTCCATCTTGGTACAAATGATTTGAAGAATGGCTTTTCACCGGATTACTGCTACAATGAAGTATGTGATTTGATCGATAGCACGAAGACAAACATGCCAAATGCTCAAGTTGTTTTTTCTGAAACTCTATATCGCCATAATAATTCTGAGCTAAATGACAAAATAGCAAAGTTTAATTGTTTATTGCGTAATATAGAAACAGAGAAGCAGAATGTTATAGTTGTAAATCATGACGGTCTTTCCTCATCACGTGATTGTTACAACAATGATGGCGTACATATAAACAACAGAGGTTTCGCAAG